GCGAGTGGGGACCCGTTGCCCCATCTCAAAGCAACCGTTGTGTTCTTGAATCCGGGCCATGGGGAAGAGGGGGCTCTAGAGTATCCCCCCAGTCGTGTCTGCACAGACCTGCGACATGGTTCACTACACCCCAGGAGCTGGCCATCCTGTGGACTCTGCACAGAGTTATGCTACGGGGCTTCAGGGGGAGACGTTTGCATTGATTCATAAGCAGTCTGAAGTGACTTAATACCATAGGCTCACAGAAAGAGGTTGTAGCCCAGGCTGGCCCTGAACTCCTCTTGCTTCTGCCGCCACCTCCCCGGTTCTGGGATGGCAAGGCATGCCGCACACCAGGTATATGCAGTGCTGGGCCTGGGGCCTAAGGTTTCGTTCACCTAAGCGAGCACTGTGTCAGCTGAGCCACAAGCAAGCACCCTGCCCACTGGGGTCAGCCTGGCCCCCTCACTTTTCCCAGGTCCCTCTGGGGCCCTCGGATGGGGGTGACTTCTCACAGCCCTGGACTGGACAGAGGCGAGGCCGTGGGCTGTCCACGGCGGCTTCTCAACAGAAAGCCGAGAACCGGCCCAGTCACATTCAGGACTCACTGGCCGGCATCTGCAGCCACCTCTGTTCTCGGCTCTGCTGCCTTTGACTTCTGACCCAGATCTGGACAGCACGGCCTTCTCCATGGCTGCAGCCGCTCAGGCCCCTTTCCCTTGGGTCAGGGACCTGGAGATTCTCATGAGGTGTCCAGAGAGGGGTGAGGAGCATTCTGAGGCTGCCTGCGAGCAGCCGCCGCCATCTCCCCTCGCTGTGCTGTGTTCTTTGTATGCAGGGAGGGACTGTGTATATTTTTATTATTTCCGTGGAGGCATGAGATTCATGTGGCACAAGTAGCGATGTGTCTGAGGCTGGCCTTGAACTTCCCATCCTTTGCTAGGTGTGTTCTTGTATTCTACAAGCACCTCACCCACTGGGCTACAAGCACTGTACCAGCGGCACCTCTGGTGATGAGGCTGAGCCTGGCTGGAGGCTCCGGCCGTGAGCCTCGGAGCTGTAAAATCACCAGAGTTCACTGTGTGTCCTTTTCACCTGCAGAGCTGTGGGGTCTCAGGGTTCCTGACGAGGGAGTTCTCCTAACCCAGACTTTGTCCCTTCGAGCAGTGTCAACACTGTCCCAACAGCGGGCGGGGGAGCTGGGCCAGGACGCCCCGCACTCTCAGGGACCCCCTGCACCCACTGCCCTGTGGGTCCCACTATGCTCGCCAGCCCGGACGGGTGGAGGGAGGGAGGGAGGGAGGGAGGAGCATCGCTTTGGCTGTTGTCCAGGGTGGGGCCATGTCACTCGGGTCTGGAACTGTCAGAGGAAAACATTGCATCGGGAGCCCGCCTGTCATCCCTCGGCGCTTCGGAGCAGAGGCAGGAGGATCAGGTCATCCTCGGCTACACGGGGCCACCTTGGGGACAGCCCAGGTGACATGAGATTGCTTCAGAGAGACGGTGTGTGAGTGCGCACGCACACCAGCATATATGCACAGAGCTCAGGTAACTCCAGGAACTCTGTCCTCGCCGTCCGCCTGGGTCCCAGGGCTTGAACTCGGCCTCTGAGGCTCAGCAGCACCGTTCCCTGGGGTCATCTCTGGCCCTCGCTCTCTGCCTTCGATGGACTATTACTCAGTCATGAGAAAGGACAATGTGCACGCGTGGGTGGATGGAGCGACGCCGTGGTGGGTGGAGGAGGCCAGGCCACAGACGTTGGGAGAGTCCAGTCCTGGGACTTTCGACCTACAACAGAAATGAAGAGTGGCTCCAGGGTGCATGAGGTCAGCCGCCGTGACGCAGGCGCAGCAGGAATGGCTCGTGTCCTGGTGGTTGGTGACAAGGCCATGTGGACTTCTGAAACTTCTGTCCCCTGTGACCCCGGAAGGGTCTCGCCATTAATGGGAACCGTATTATTAAAGGAAGTCCAAGAAGGGTCGCTCTCGCTGGACAGGGGCCGCACCCCTTTCATCCCAGCCCTCGGGGGGCAGAGGCAGGCGGGTCTCTGAGTTCCAGGACAGGCAGGACTATAAAGAGACTGTCACAGTGCCTCCCTTTCTCCTCAGTTCTTCTCATTGGCTTTTGGTAGTGGTTGGCTTTGGTTGTTTTCTTTTTGTGCTTGTTTTTAAGACATGGTCTCAAGTTGTTAAGGCTGGCCTTGAACTCATGATCTGGTCAGGGGTAACCTTGAACTCCTGATCGTCTCTGCCTCCACCTCCTGAGCTCTAGAGTGGAGACATGAAGCAATGCCATCTGCCCTGCCTGTGTGACTTTCACACCAGTCTCTCTGTCTTCCTCTGTTTCACCCTGTCTTCCTGTGGCCACCATCCCTCCCTTATCCATCCATCTATCTATCTATCTGTCTGTCTATCTATCTATCTAGGGGTTTTGAAATAGGGTCTCACTGTGTAGCCATGGCTGTCCTAGAACTTGCTGTGTAGACCAGGCTGGCCTCTGCCTCCCAGTGTTGTCAGGATGGGTTGTACGGGGCCATGGACACTTCTCAGCTCTCCAGAACCCAGCCTCACCTGCCTGATATCTGCCCCACTAGAGCCCCAAAGATGTTCACCCAGGGAACCCCAGCTTCTGGGACCTCTCTCTTCCCTCTCAGCATGTGGGGTTCCATGTGGGCCTCGGCATGGCTGGCGACCATGGGCACAGGATTTCTTGGGGTCTGTAGAATGACAGAAAAGGGAGTGGCATGGCCTCCCAAGCCCCAGGTAACACTGGGGGCTCCCTGGCATAGAATGGGCAGAGGCAGCATGCCCAACACCCAGCTGGGGGCCCCACATCACTCCTGGTTTATGCTGACCTCAGGGCTCCCCTGAGCCTGGGTCTCCAGCACTGTGAGGCAGCCTTGTATCTCTGCCTAAACCAGCCCTGGCTTTCCAGCTCCCCAAATCACCCCACGTGACACCCCACTTCTCCGCTGCTGCCCAAAGACTGAGGCCCCGGCCAGGAGCTCTGCAGGTCCTGCTCTGGCTGCAGGTCTGTCCCACAGGCTGCCACGTGCAGGGCCTGTGGCCCCTGACTCAGCGGCTGGGCTGCCTTGGGCTCGGGCGGCTGCTACCTGTGGGGGGCCATGGCTGAGCCGTGAGTCAGGGCTCAGGCTGGTGACACAGACCTCGGGCCGGACAGCGCGAGACAGCCTGCAGAGCCGCAGTTCAGGGTCAGCAGACACCGTGAGAACAACAAAGCTGTGTACCAGAAAACCGTGGAAGACAAAACAGAGACATGTCCGGACGTTCGCTGTGGACAAACACAGCCATGTTCCGACTGGTGACTTCCCGAGATGTGTGTACACATGAGCGAGCAGGACCCTCCTAGAATTCCCCAGTGAGGGCTGGGGGCGTGGCTCCTGAGTTGAGCCCAGGCATAGCATGCACAAAGCCTCACACGCGTGCACAAGCATAGGCAGATATTTTTAAACAATAAAATGCCCATGCCGTGCGCCTATCTCTAGAGATCCTCAGGCACAGGCCTGAGGATACACTCTGACCCGCTCACATTTCTATCTCTTCACACACACCTGCACTCAGACGCCTGCTTACATGGATGCAGCAGGCTCACGTGAGGACACATGCACACACACACACACACACACACAAGCACGGGTTCTGAGCAGGGCTAGCCCCTGCTCTCCAGCTTCTCAGGAAAAGGGCTGAGGCCTGGCCCTTGTTCTCTCTACCCAACTATATTTAGCTCAAGAGGAATCTTGGGCTGGAGCCCATGCGGTCTCCGTGTCCTGCCTGGAAGCCCTGATGGGTGATTTCTCTGCAGCCCACACCAAGGCTCAGGCTTCTCTGTCCCCAGGAGCTGGATGTCTGCTCACACCCCAGGGAGCCAGGCAGGGACGAAGGACTTGGATGAGACTTAAGCCTGCCATCCCAGACCTTGAGACTGGCCAAAAGTTCTGGCCAGCCTGGGCTACACAGGGAGACTCTTGTGCAGTCAGCTCATGCTGAGCTGCGATGAAAGGACATGAGGTGGTTCCACTGGGCGTTACTCAAGGTGACATTTGACAACCTGAAGGCAAGCTGGCAGGAGGCCTCAGCCGGGAAAGCGATTGCTACTAAGGCCGAGGACCCAGGTGAAAGGAGGCAGCACATTTCCACACGCTGTCCTCTGACCCGGATGCCATGACACATGCAAATCCACACATATGCGTGCGCAGGGCCGTGTGCACACACACAAGCACACACACACACACATGAACCTGTGCATGCAAACAGACAAGCATACTCAAATATTTTTAAACAATAAAATGTTAGGGCCACTGAGATGGCTCAGCTGGCAAAGATGCTTGCTGCCAAGCTGGAAAAAACTCGGTTCAAACCCCGAGAGAGAACCGACTCCTGCAGGCCGTCCTGTGACTTGCACACAGCCTCACCCACACACAAAACAGAAATAAACAAAGGAAAAGAGGGGCCAGGGTGTGGCTCAGCAGGAGAGAGTCTGGAACTGTGCAGGCCCTGGCGTCTGTCCCCAGAGCTGCTGGGGCTGCTGCTGGGGCTGTCTAAAGAGAGCCTCTTGCAAGAACCAAAATCGAAGCCTTCATGCTGGCCCGGCCCACCCCCAGTGGCCATGTCCAGTCCCAGGCCACCGTCTCTGCTGCCATCCGGGCCTCAGCTTGAATTCTGTAGCTCGGAACAGACGGACAGCCTTCAGGTGTACTTTCATCAGGCCGTGACAGTCATGATGCTCTAGACCTGTTTGACAACTGACTTCACGACCGTAGGGAAGGCTGAGGGAGGGTCTCGGGGTGGGCCAGGATGACCGCAAACTCAGTCATCATCATCTTGGTGGGACCCTGAGTCGGCGTGACCTTGGGCCCTTACCACCCCACCCGCAGGGATGGGCAGAGGCAGGAGCTGGGGGCCTGTCCCGTGCTCTGAGAAGCTGGGCTGACTGGGCAGTCCTCCGAGGGTCAGGGTTCCAGGGGTCTGAGCAGCAGGTTCATGGCCCTCTGTGTCCTCCAGCTCTCTAGACTCGGGGCCCACGCTCATGGCTGATGATGTCAGGTACTAACAACGTCGCCCAGGCCCGGAAGCTGGTGGAGCAGCTGCGTATCGAAGCAGGGATAGAACGCATCAAGGTGAGCTGGACCAGGGGTGGGGAAGGAGGAGAGACAGCCACAGCCCGGTGTGGGGCCGAGAAACTCAGGTGGCCCGTTGGGGCGGGACGGCGTGTCCAGCATGCCTTTCGCCTCAGCCTGCGGCTTTTTCCTGTCACCCTCTTCCGCACAGTGCTCTCTGTCCTTGGTTACTACAGACAGGAGTGACACAGAGGAAGGGAGCAGATGGCTGTCTAGCTGCTTGCACCGTTGGGCGTGGTGTTCATTTCTTGCAACAAAACTGATTTGTGTACTAAATAAAGAAAAGGCGGGCTGGGGGCGTGGTCAGGGGTGGAGCCCCGCCTAGAATCTCCCAGTGAGGGCTGGGGGCGTGGTGAGGGACAGAACACTTTCCTAGCCTGCAGGTGGCCCTAAGTTCCATCCCTGGCGCCACCACATACAAGTGTTAGACTGAGCAAGGTGGCCCCAGGACCACTATTCCCCTGCCTCGGCGCATATTCATCCAGACCTTCATTCACTGGGAAGGGAGCCCCCAGACCCTCAGGGCTCAGGCCAGGCCGAGCAGAGGACACCTCACAGGAGGTCTGTGGGCCCAACCCCGAGCTGGACAGAGCTGCTCAGGCAGAGCAGGCCCCGGAGGTTCCATGTGAGCTGGTGAGAGGGAGGGGCGCTCTGTGGTCCCCCTCACCCTGTCTGGGGTCGGGACCAGCCTGCTGGTGACACGGGGATGGTCGTGTGCCTGGGCACCTCGCGGGCTCTGGGCTTCTGCGTCCCCTCCCAAGTCGCCGTGAGAACCCTAGAGACCTGGGCGGACCCCGGGGAAGGGCCCGGGCGCCCTGTGCCACGCCGGCTTTTCCGAGGCCTCGCAGGCTGTTCTGTCCATCGCGGAGGGCACATTTCCAAGCAGATCTACAAAGGCCCGCGGTTTTCCCTGCGCGGAGGCGTATCAGGCGTCAAGGCCAGCCTCAGCTACACAGGAATTTGAGGCCATCCTGAGCTACATGAGACAAGACAGCGGCAGGACAGGGGGCATCTTATCTTTGTCTGGTTTCGTTGTCCAGACAGGGATTCTCCGCGTCCCAATGGCTGTCCTGTATCCGCTCTGCAGACCAGGCTGGCCTTGAACTCGGATACCGCCTACCTCTGCCTCCCAAGCGCTGGGCTCAAAGGCCTGTGCCACCTCCGCCCGGTAGTGGCCATGATCTTAAACTGCAGCTGCCGCACATGGCCTCATGCCTGACACAGCCCAGCAGCCCTAATGGACCAGGTCCGGTGAGGCACAGGGCTTTCCCCACCGGCTCCCACGGGTGGGGCGGGAGCGGATGCTGTGGGGCAGAAATCCAGCCACAGCTTACTTAGTTGCCAGGAACTTCTGGCGAGGGATGCCGAGAGGCCCCATTCCTCCTTCGGCTTCTTTCGCATCTCAGTGATAAAGTCCGGAGGTTCGTGGACCGTTTGCACTCTAAGCCACGCTCCAGCTTCTCCCTGGGGGATTCTAGGTGGTGGCTCCACCCTAACCACGCCCCTGGCCCTGGGTGACTGTAAGCGCACCCAAAAGACCTGTCCCAGTAGCCGTCACCTCATCCCATCTCCACGCCCCAGCAGCCACAGATCCACTTCCTGTGTCTGGGTTCATTTTTTTCCTAGAGATATCTTGCCGTGTCCTTTTGTGTCTGGTCCTCTCACTGGAAACGAAAGGCCCTCAGAACCCCTGCGTGTCGTAGCCTGTGTCAGAGCCGTGTCCCTTTTTCGTGGGTGTGCACTATTCCACGGCGTGTGTCCCCCCCACCGTGCGTGTGGCTTCACCCGGCCTCTCCCTGTCCCATCTGACGTTCCCTCTCTCCCCCCCTTGTGCCGCACAGGTCTCTAAAGCCTCGTCAGAGCTGATGAGCTACTGTGAGCAGCATGCCCGGAACGACCCCTTGCTGGTCGGTGTGCCAGCCTCTGAGAACCCGTTCAAAGACAAAAAGCCTTGCATAATCCTCTAGTCCTCTCTCTCTGCCCCCTCCCAAGGCACTTTCCAATTTCTACTGTGAGAAAAGTATTTGTGTCCCTCCCGCTTTGAACTCTGAAGGAACAGAAATCGTCGTGAATGCCCGGATCTTCACGGCTGGCATGGAGTGTGTGACTCGGCCGGGGGCTCGGGCTGCCTGGCCTAACAAGGGTGCCGGCCTCCTCCCCCTGCCCCCTCCCGCCAGGCATCGCTGGGGACCTGGGCTGGGTGACCATCCTTAAAGCTCCCATAGTCAGCGCCGGGGGAGGGCTCACAGGCCAAGTGCATGCCTGGCGGCCATGAGGACCCCAGTTGCGACCCTCCATCCCACGTTTAAAAAATATCCAGGGGCCGGGCCACGCATCTGTGCCCCAGCACTCCGGAGGCCGAGACGGCAGGGTCCCGAGGGGCTTGGGGACAGACATCTTGGCTGTCAGTGAGCTGGGGCCAGTGAGGGACCCTGCCTCCACCACAAGGCCGAGTTAGACAGGGGAGGGCACACGCGGACCTCCAGCTCCGCCTCGGACACACACAATTCGCTGTGCTGCCCAGCGGCCCCCCCCCCCCCCCCAGTGTGGCCCTGTCATGTGCACAGCGACTTCCTTCTCCGGAGACCTGGTCCATTCCGGAAACGGACCTCCAGGTCTCCACACACACAGAGCGCTTGCTGGTGCGGCCGAGTGTGTGATGTCCCCCAAGCCTGAGGCCCGTGTGGGCGCCGGCAGCTCCCCACTCTCCCAGTTTCCCAGTTACCCGGGTGATTGTGAGGACAGAGGTGCAGCTTTGGTTATCTTGGGGCTGTTGAGAAGGCGTGATGGCGTTCTGCAGCCACGTGGGTCTCCAGATCCCTCCTCCTCCTGCCTAGATCAAACTCTTTCCAACTCAACCCAAGACCCTCAGTGTGAGGACTGTGGAGCGGTTGTGCCCTGCCCCCTCAGAGAGGGGGTGGGGAGGATGTTAAGCAGAGGCTCCGCCCCTGCGCACGCCCAGCCCCTCACTCAGGGACTCTAGGCAGAAGCTCCACCCCTGGCCACGCCCCAGGCGTCTAGGTGGGCCCCAACCCTGAGCCAGGCCTGTACCCCTGTTTGGTCTAAGAGTCTAGGCTGGCCCGGAACTGGAGCTCTTCCTGCCTCCGCCCGGGCTTGCACACCTGGCCTAGGGACCCGCCCCCACGGGTGACAGCCACAGCGGCAGGTGTCAGGACACGGAGGCTTGGCTGTGCCAATGCGCCCTGAAGCCTGACCTCAGAGGCACCCCACGCAGCAGGGCGACCTCGGGTTCCAGAGTCCCCATGACCTCTCCCTCCTGCCACACAGCAGAAAGCGAGCCACTCCTGTTATGCCCCGTGGCCCTGATGGGAATCAGCTTCCAGAAGCCTGTGCCAGGCTGGTCCACGGACAGTTGCCCAAGTAGCCCAAGGGGAGGGTGAATGGGGCCCACACACCCCGGCTCATCTCCCAGCCCTTCAGGCACAACCTACCTCCTAGGCAAGGTGGCAAGCCCCAGACTCCATTTCCACAGGGCCAGGGAAAGAGGTCTGGGGCATGAGTAGGGGTAGACATTGCAGGTGCTAAGAGGGGCCCCCATTCCCCCCTCCGAGGGCTGGCTCCCAGAGGGTGCAGGGTGAGGGCCAGGCCCCTCCGTGCACCGGCTCCTGGCTCCCCGTTGCTAGCCAGGAAGAGCCAGGCCTTTGGGGAGCCTGCTTCCCCAAACGTGTGTGGGTGGAGCAGAAAACCAGTGTCTCCCTAAAACGAAAGCCACCTTGCATTAGGCTGGGAATGGGGTCCCGAGGTGCATGTCCCAGACAGACTGGCAGGGGACAGCAAGGAGAGAAAAAGCAGGTTCTGCGGACTGGGGCTGTGGCCCAGTGGGCAGAGCACCCACCCGGCATGCCAAAAACCCAGGGCTCCTCCCCCCAGCTTTCGGAAACCAAGCACAGGCACACTGGGGAGGCGGAGTCAGGGGGATCAGGGCATCAGGGTCATCCTCAGCGACATAAGACATAATGAGTTCAAGGCCAGCCTGGGCTACAGGAGACAATGTCTCAAAAAACAGAGAATTCAGTGCACGCTCCCCTCGGGGGAGGCGGCCAGCCTGGCCAGTTGTGTTTGCTCCAAGCTTTTCCTTCCCCAACTCCGGGAACAAACCTCAAGTCAGTGCCCATGCCCAGGCTGCTAGTGCCCTCTCCCCAAGTAACTCACACCAAGGACAAAGCGGCCTCATGTTCCCAGGAAAGGTAGGACATCCTTGGCCCCTGTATTGAGCCCCAATGGTCCCTGTGACCCCTATGACCACCGGAGCCCTGCCTCAGCTTGGGGACACTGCAAGCGGAACAAGGCATAGGCAGGCGGATCTCTGTGGTCGAGGCCAGCCTGGGCTACAGAGTGAGTCCAGGACAGCCAAGGATATAGAAACAGTGTCTGAGAGAAGAAAGAGAGAGAGAGGAGTCAGACCTACTCCAGCATGAGCGACCAGCAGGGACTTCCAGCATAAGGATGGGAGGTTGCATCCTACTGGAAGCCATACACAGACATGACCTGACACAGCCTTCCTGTTCCCTCACCCCGCTCCAGGGCTGGCTCCTCCTCCTTCCCTGTGCTTTGGGACACCGGTCGCTTTTAACTTCTGATTTTAACCACCCCCCCCCATGTGCCACGCCCTCACAGTGTTCGTGTTGTGTGGAATGAGGTCACGGTCGGGTGAATCCTCCATAATAAAAGGCTCACGTTTCCTTTGCCTGGACTCCAAACTCTTTTCCTCTCTCTGGCCAGGACCCCTCAGGGATTGCAAGGGACAGTGGCCAGCCAGCCTCACCCCCTTCCTTCAGGGGTTCCAGGAGGCTGCAATGGGCCGGGCTCTGTTCCCGACACCCAGGGTGAGGGAGCAGCCAGGCTCAGGCCTGGCGGACTCTGCGCAGGGCTGAAGGACAGGTGTGGCCACAGGTGTTGGCTGAAGATGGCCTCCAGGGTTTTGTTGGTGCTGGGTGAGCCCTCCACCCACCGAGCTCCACCCTAGCCTTTCTGTTGAGACAGGCACACTTCCTGCCTGCCTGGAGTTGCCCAGTAAGGGGCTCAGAGCAGGGCTCGGCGATCCCAAGTACAAAGGCCCAGGGTTGGAACCCAGCACATACAAAATAAAAGACCCTTTATTCCCCAACAGCTGTGGTATCAGAGCTTCAGCACGGGCATCCCTCGGCTGTAGTCCAGGCCTGCACTGCACTTCCAGGGAGTCCCTACCCCTGCTCCACCACAGCGCGTAGCAGCCCCGCAGCCCCTGGCCCGCAGCTCCATGCCCCTCCTTCAGAGCTAGCATTGCAGTGTCTCCAGTCTAGCTGCCTTTCACCCCCCTGACTCCTTCTCAAGACCTGATTGATGACAGGGCGTCCTGAATGGTCCAGGATGGGTCCCTCAGCTTGACCCCCCTGCAAAATTTCTCACCTGCACATACAATATTTCATACTACAGTGGAGAGCGTGTCGCAGATCTGGGGTGCAGATGAGGTGGTCTTTGGGGCTGCCGGGAGCCACCCACAGCCCGGGTCCCTCGGAGGTTGACATTTCTCTGCTGTTCACCTTCAGCCGTCTGACCGGCGGCGGAGCAGGGGTGAACCCAGGACAGCGAGGCGGGGAGCGAGCGCGGGCTGGAAAAGGGTGTGATGTTGGCTCAGCCAGCACTTACTGTGGCCTGCGGTTGCCTGTGGGAGACCACGGCCTTAGACGCTCACCTGGGTAGCAATCTGGGGCTGGGGGGGGGGGGGACTGAGCCTTTGGCTCCAGGTTGGACGGGGCTTCCTCTCTGCTCGCTGTGTGAGTGGCGAGGCTGCCCTGGACAGGCTGTCACACTGGGTGACATCAGCCAAGACCTCCTGTCCCTCCCACCCGGCCAGTGAAGTGGCAGGAAGTTCTAAAGGGGGGCGGCCACGGGGTCTCCTGCCGGGAAGGCTCAGGAGCAGAGAAAACAGGGCAGGGTTCTGGAAGCGTCTGATGCTTGTGAGGCGCTGACAGCTGCACCCCCCACTCCCCAGCCAAGCAAACACGCAGGCAGGCGAGTCACAGGCCACACCCCCGCGGGCTCTGCTGTCTGCAGAACCCGCCCAACAGCTCCTCAGAGACCCTAAAGGTCCCAAAGGACTCTGCCTAAGCTTTCCCATGACGGAAGGGGACCACAGCCACAAGGGGGAAGGAGACACAGAGGTCAAGGCTAGCCTGGGCTACAAAAGGGGACCCGGTGCTGGAGAGGTGGCTCAGCGGTTAGAGCACCAGTTGCCCCCCTCAGAGGATCCAGCTTCGATTCCCACCACCCACAACGGAGGCTTACAACCGCCGGTGACTCCAGCTCCAGGGTACGACGCCCCCTTCTGGCCTCTGTGGGCACTGCACCAACAGGTACTACAAATAACTAAAGCAAGATAAATATTTCTGTTGTTTTGTTTTATTTAAGACATGATTTCTCTGTCTTGGACTCGTTTTGTAGATGAGGCTGGCCTCAGACTCAGAGATCTGCCTGCCTCTGCCTCCCTGAGTGCTGGAATTAAAGGTATGCACCACCATGCCTGGCTAATTATTATTTTTTCATTAATTAATCAATCAATCAATTAATTAATTAATTAACATTACAGGCTAGTCATAGCCCCATCCCTCCTCACCTCTCAGTCCCACCCTCTTCCCTCTCACCCTATATATATATTTTTGTTGTTGTTGTTGTTGTTGTTTAGGAAAGTAATGTTAGGCCAGGCAGTTGTGGCCCACACCTTTAGTCCCAGCACTCAGGAGGCAGAGGCAGGCAGATCTCTGTGAATTTAAGTCCAGCCTGGTCTACAGAGTGAGTTCCAGGACAGCCAGAGCTACATAGAGAAACCTTGTCAAAAAGAAAAGAAAAAGAAAAGAAAAGAAAAAAGTGTTTGGGGCTGTAGAGACTGGAGAGATGGCTCAGGGGTTAAGAGCACAGGCTGCTCTTCCAGATGGACCCGGGTTCAATGCGTAGCCCCCACATGGCGGCTCACAGCTGTCTGTAACTCCAGTTGCAGGGCCGCTGACACTCTCACACAGACAGACAGGCAAACACGACCAACGTAAAATAGAAGTAAAAAAGAAAGAAAGGGATGTCCTGGGTGGCTCTGGTCCTCCAGACAAAGCTGGAGGCATCGAGGGCCACAGGTGGGCAGGGAAGGAAAGGCCACTCGGTCCTGAAGGAACGAGGTGCTGGCTCAGTGTGACTCCCGAACACTCGGTGCTGCTGAAACAAGCTTTGCTCAGAGAGAACGGCGGAGTCTATGGACCGCTGGCGACTCTCTGTGGCTCTCGGTGAGGGCTGTGATCGGGACGACAACCCAAACACATCCACATCTGAAGGGAGGAGCCGGGGGCGCCAGTCGGCTGGTGTACGGCCACAGAAGCTGCAGGAGGGGCCTGAGAGTTCTAGATCCTCCAGGGCCCAGAGGTCTCCACAGTTTCAAGGCTTTCCCTGGGGACATGTAAGCAAATTTCTATTTGTCAGGTGTGGGGGCTCAAGCATGTCACCTCAGTACTCAGGAAGAGGAGGCAGGAGCATTGCTGTAAGTTTAAAGGC